CCCCCCCCCCCAATTATCGATATTCCGGCGCCTCTGCCCACCCTCTGGTTACGGCACTGGAATTGAGCTGTTCAGACCTCTGCATTTTAGTTGCAATTTAGAACAGTGTTTTGACATATAGTGATGAGTTAATTGTGTTTGTAAGAAAATTTAAAATTTTTCGCAAAAGCATTTCTCCACTATAACAGTGTATTTTTTCAAACTAATCAAGCTGTCAATCCTTGGATATGGGGAGGGGAAATTTTGGAGAAAGAAAAATTGTGACAATCAAGTTATGGGGCGGGCCCCGATTGTTGGGCAGACTAGGCCAGTCGGGCAATATTTGCTTCACAGTCGAGCAATATTGGCTTATTATAAAAATAAATAGGAGAAATTCCCTCAATATTGGAGGAAATATGTTATCTAGCAGTCGAAAATTTCGTTCATATTGATTAGACATTTAACATATGTGTTATCAACAGTTTCTTTACGGTAAATAACAGATTACATAGAGCATTAGAGGCACTAATAACTCAATAATAAATAGGCACTTATTCAAACTCAGAGGTACTGAGGCAGACTGTGCACCAAGCAATTCCTCATGGGTAAACAGATTCGGTAAGATAAAGGTAAAAAAATATTAAAGACTTTATTATGTAATATTACATTGAATTTCGTGGTTGTAGTTATAGATTTATACTTAGCATTTTTGAACGAGAAATTTTTCGCTTTATTATGTTAAATTTTTTACTTTGTTCGCCATTCTTGCTTATCTACAAATAAAAATAGTCCATTTCTTCTTTTGCCCTTTTCAAACCAGCCCAAAATTTGGTTTAAAAAGGTATTTTCATGCAAAAACCCGCATTTAACTTTCGTATACACTCCTTGATAGCAGCCATGTATGAGGCGCCAAATGTATTTTTATTATTTAGATAAAATACGAAGATATTTTGAATGATTTATTTTATTATATCATATAACCAAAATATCAGCTTTGGTTATTTGAAATAACCACATTCACGTTTGCCGAATGAACTCTATTATATCAAATAACCAATTTGCGTTTTGCGCTGATATCAAATAATAAACTTGACGCGATTTGGTTGTATCAAATAACCAATTTTGCTGTCATGATTTAATTTGGTTATATCAAATAACCAATTATTTGCGTTCATGATTTAAATTGGTTATATCAAATAACCAATTTTTGTCGCATTATATTAAATAACCAAAATAATTTTTACACACTTGGCGAGCCAAATGACGTCACAACGGTAGCAACACTCAGAGTGCCTACCCCCCTGAACATGCCGAAGACAATTTTCCGAAATATTCCGAATTCTGATTCGTTCGCGGTATTGCGTTCATGTATGCAAATATGGCGTCGGGTCAACAACAAAGTGCTCTTGCGAGAAGTTTTAATAACGCAAGCTATAGGGCGGGCTATTGACGAGACGCTAAGTACAATCGCAGAGGTAACGTTTAAGAGCTTATTCGTTTTATTTTTTCGTCGTTCATGAATATTCATGGTGTAGAATGCCTTGTGTAGTTGTATTCATACAAATATTTGTGTAATATTTTATAAGCATCATAGCATTGATGCCATTGCCTATTAATACTATTGAACTCGAAGGTGTGAAGTTAGATGCCGTAATAACGGAGTCGAGACTCTCCAATAATATATACCAGAACAGTAAAGCGATTGAGCAAATTCATAGTCAAATGATTAACATGCAAAATATACAAAATATAACAGATGAGCGGTCAACCATCGCGAACAGAGAACAATCAAATACTCATACAATTAGTAAACAACGTTTTGTGAAAACCCCTGTAATAAATCAGATGTTCTACAGGATGAACAGTTTTGTTTATCACATGGGCATCAAAGTGATAAACTACAGAGTAAAGTCAATAACAATTCTAATAGTGTTCGTGATTATCAATGTGAGAATTCTAAATCAAACTGCCATACCGTAGAAGGTACACCACAAGGTCAACCAATTAGACGGTGTAAAACCAAAACGACGCTACCTATGTGTTTGGGAAACTTGCCACTAATTGAGTTACCATCATCAAATATGCAGAAAAATAAACAAAGCAAGCTTCCCAATAAGAAGAGGGTTTACTCGAAGCGATACAAGCATGGCTATTATGCAAAACGACAAATTAATACTCAATCCCAAGAACTTAGCTATTCCTGTTAGAATTACACAGAGGCAAAATTACCACCACCGTAATTCTAATAATACTTCAAATATCAACTCAAAGAGACGAAGTAACTTGGTACCTATTAATTTAACATCCACAAGAAAAGTTCCTTCGAGAGAGTCGGGTTTTGCTGTTCCTAAGTTTATGTTTATCAATATATGTAGTTTGGCAAATACAAAAAATCGAGTACGAGCTGTAGTTGCACTGGAGGCAGACTTGGTCAATAACGATATAGATATATGTGTGGTGAGCGAGAGTCACCCAGGCCTCGAATTTCCCTGAAATCAATCGACGGCAATGACGTTAAAAATTGCCGTAGAACGTAACAGCTGTCTACGGTAATTTTGGCAGTTTCCACGGCATTTTTCAAATTACTGAATAAAACTTTAATTTTATTGTTACTTTGGATTTTGGATAAGCTAGAAACATGTCTACGTATTTCTTTAGTGGGTTTTTTTTCGAAGAAAACTGAGACTAATAATGATTTACGCATGATTTGATCAACATCTGAATAGTATAAAAATTGCACTATACGGCAAAAAATTGCCGTCGTTGCCGCAATGATCCACGGCATTTTGTTCTCCCTCTACGGCAATTGCCGCGATAAAATTCGAGCCCTGGAGTCACCTGAAACCTGAAATG